TCCAGAGTTCTCATGAACCGCTGCCAGCCCTTTATCCCTCTCTCATCGGAACCGATCAATCCGGCCGTCGGTGGAAGGTGCACGCGACAACCTTCGTCTATGCAAAGCAGATCTCATCAATTGTCCTTACACGGAGAGGGTGCCCTACCGTTCTCATGAAGCTAGATTTCCACAAAGCCTTCGATTGTGTCGCCTGGGACAGCTTGACCAAGATCATGAAATGCCGTGGCTTCTCTGATAGATGGTGTGCCTGGATCAACGTCCCCTTTCAAAGACTGGGGAAAACATCGTCCTCCTTAGCAGTGTTCCGGGCAACTGGATTAACTGCCGCCGTGGACTCCGGCAGGGGGACCCCCTATCACCGTATCTTTTCATCATTGTTGCCGATGTTCTTCGCCGTCCGCTCCAAAACCATCACCTTGCCGCGGATATTCGACATCCCATCCTCCCCGATGAGCCGTGCCCGTCCTCCGAAGACGCCGATGACACCCTTGTTTTCATGCTTTGCACCCTAACGCCATCTCTGCGACTAAACGCATCCTGCAATTGCTCGAGAAAGCTCTGGCTTGGCCATCAACTACCACAAAACTACCTTCTTACCAATTGTCGTCCCCCGACGACGAAGCCGCCGCCCTTGCCACCTCTTTTGGCACCACCACCTCCACCTTTCCTCAAAGACCTACCTTGGACTACCTCTTACCCTCACAAAGTCTCTGTTTCGATGCCGCCCTTATCACCTCTTTTGACAAATACTTATCAGTTGGCGAGCCTCTCTTCTTCTTCACATATTCTCACCCAGATTCATTTCTCAAGACTCGCTTCACTACATGTCCGCAATCAGCGTGCCTAAGGCAGATCCTCAAGGCCATCGACAAGAGACGTCGTGCCTTCTTCCCGGATGGAGAAGATAGTCGCCACGGTTCCAAATGCCTTGTCGCTTGGGACACGGTCCAAGCTCAAAAACATCGGTGGCTGGGAATAAAAGACTGGAGCTTCGTAACCGGTGCTTGGCGATGAAATTCGTCAACAAATTATTCAATTGGAGAACAAACCATTTGGAAAGATTGGCTTCTACGCAGTGGTGCCTCCTCCTTCGATACCCCGATCATCATCGCGCGGCCTAGCGTCTAGCTTCTCTGGCGCATTGTCAATGACGAGCTTAACACCTTTCGCTCCATCACCATCATCACAAAGTCAACAATGGCGCGCAACCTCCTTTTGGTTCGACCATTGGCTCCCCGCCGCCCCTCTTCTCCACCCATCATGCTTTGTTCACACACACCACTATGCCTAACATCTCGTGCGGTAGCGTCTTCCGTGAGTGGTTTTGATTTTGCGTCTGTCCTCGACTCACTAATCTTGCTAGCCATCTAGGAGTTCTCTTTGTTGCGGGAGATGAACATCGGCGACGGCCCCGTTGACTCTCTACAGGCACACCTACTCGCTTAGGGATGCCTCACGCAGCCTCGACGACTCTTCAGTGATGTTGACACTAGTGGATCTGTTTTCAAGGCTACCAAACAAGGTCAAGGTGTTCGCTATTGTACTTCAAAGACCGGCTCAAGACAAGGGTGAACCTCCATGCAAAACACATCGTCGACGGCGAACAATGAGAAGGCTTGCGCTTAGGCACCGGAGAACAGCGACACGTTTTCTTCTACTGCGAACAAAGTGATGCATGTGGACCCAATAGGCATGGGCGATGTGGGGACGATGATGACGGATGATGAAGCATGGGAAGCAACACTCAGAAATCTAGAAGCGACTCTACGGCCTTTCATCTTCCGACTATCTTATGGGATGATCGGGACGGTCGGAATGGGTATGTATTCAGTAATGAAAATTTCTGAATCGCGTGGTTCTTTCGAGGGTCTGTGATGACCTTGTAACTGGCGCAAGCGCCTTCCTCCCGAGCTAGAGGAACGCTCTCATTGGCTGGTACGCCACCTCCGCGATTGTACCTCAAACTCTTTTCCACGTCCTACTTAACTTGGGCGTGTGCTTTTGAATGGAAAGGTGGGGAAACTCTCCCCTCCGTTTAGTTCAAAAAAAAAAACTCTGATACGCAATCTCTCCAGCCACTACTGTCATCGTCGAGATCCACCTTTAGAAAATCACCTATTTTATTTCCCAATTGGCGCCCAATGTTCTTCGTTCTAAATCCTATTGGCAAATCATAAATACGAATCTAAGCTGCTAGGTATTTGAATTTTACCTTGGAGGGCTTCGTAACCCCATCATACCTTCCAATAGAATAGCGTGGCCCCTAAAAATCCATGGACCCTCCTCCATCACTTTCCTCCAACCCCCAAACAAGAAAACTTGAGCACAAACAAATTTTCTTGTATGGCCTTAAAGCTAAAATCTTTTGCCAAGCTCCAAGCATACTTCATGTTCTCTATAAATGCAGCATGACTGAAGGGTTTTTGAGGAACTAACCTTTGGCAATGCTGTCCATCGTGCCTCTGCTTTTAACTCCTCCAAGTCTTCTTCCAGAACAATGCGTTGTTCCACGTCTTCCCTAATCTCCAAGTGCTGGAGCAGATTATTTAGGTCACTCTCTATTTCCTTCCCCAATTGCTACATTTGCTTTTCAGACTGCTTTTTTCCTGCGCTAGATTCAGCCATTCCGACCAGCAAATCAGAGGCTTAGCTCACAATACCCAAAATCGCAACAAAGGCCGAGAAGCAAACTCAATGTTTGCCCTTGACCCAGCCCGAATTGCGTTGGGGATCTTGGAGCTGCAAGGATCTGGTCAGCTTTGGGAAAGATTGGGATCAATCTCGCACTGAAGATTCAGCGGAGTAACAGAACCCTGGGAACGCTAGGGGAACTATCTCGAATGCTCTCATCATTCGCATCTTGCGTCGAATGTCGTTGGATGTTTGTTGTGGCCCGTGGGTGCCAGACTTCGCGGTTGGCTGGCCCAGTGGTCCGGCCCACCAACATGAGCGATCCTGAAGACCTGAATCTCATTGTCCTGCGCTTGCAGCAAACCTTTTTCATTTCCCCTAAAACAACCAATCTTTTTTTTCTTTTCCCCAAAAACTAAGGTCCTGTTTGGATTCATTTGCCATGGACTAAAATTTAGCCTCTAAACTTTAGTCTTGCTGTGCTGTTTGGATCCATGGGCTAAACTTTAGTCCTTTATCCTACAATAATTGATTTACCCCTCAATGCATGCTTCGGCGGTCGTTGCAGGTGGGTGGGTGGGGGTATGTAGTGTCCAGTGCGCCCTCCAATGAACTTTTAGCCCAGATTAGGGCCTCTTGAGGAGTAAATGGGCAAATGCACTTTTCCCCATTTACTCACTTTCAGCATATCTGTTTGGATCCCCGTGACAAAAAAAAAAAAAAAAGGCTAAGGGCTACTTTGGAAGCAGGTGGAGCCTATCCCAGGGAAGGAAAGCATTCGGGAGGATTTTGATGGCAATTCGTTTCCCTGGGCAGCCTCCCTAGCAGGGTGTCAATTCTCTGTCGCTGTTTGGCAACAAGGGCAGAAATCCCAGGTAGTAAAAATGGTCTCCAAAATTAGAAAGAAGGGAAAAAATCAAGACGCATCCTCTTCCTCCTGAACACGTTGTCAGCCTGTCCGATAGACGCGCAGCGCTGGAGACTCGCCCAGACAGCCGGGGCCACCGACGCCCTGCCGTGCAGCGCACCGAGGATTTGGAGCACTTCGAGGACGCGGTCCCGGAGGTCACCGAGGCGCTCTCACCGTGGGCCGTGGGCGAGCCCCTCCACGCGTTCTCCTCCACTCGGCCTCCACGCCATCGTAGAGGCCTTCCGAGTTGGCTCTCCGTTCATATCCCCACAGTCCGCACCTCTCCACAACGCCCTCCGCGACGAAGTCGCCTCGCTCGATCCCGACGAAGACCAGCACGAGCGCGCTGCAAGGCCCGGAAGACTCTGGTCACACTGGATCTCCTCGACGGCGTAGGGGTTGGCCAATGACTGCGGCGTGACCACGACCACGCCGCGTGGCAGCGTCAGCTGAAGCGCCCATGCGCCAAGACCGGCAAGCCCGGTCCGACGCAATGCAGGCACCTTCGGGTAGGTGTGGCGGTGGGAGCACGGGCAGCGCAGGTGGCAAAAGCCGCACATCGCACGGCTGGGTAGCGGCACGCCTGTCGGAGACTTGGAGTTGGAGGAGGCGTCGCGACTCGTGGCAAGGAAGCGCGCCCGGCCTCTTGCGGCGTGGATTGCTCCCTCGTGAAAAACGTGGGGAAAGGGGATGTATTCCACGTCTCTGCGATCTTTCAAATGCAGCAAGGGATTTCATGGGGAGAGATCCGCCCACGGGTTTCTCGTCATGGAAAATCGCATGGTATCCGGCGAGGAATGCTGCTGCCAAAGTAGCCCTAAAAAAATACGGACTAAATTTTTTTCATGGATCCAAACAGAGCCTAAAACAACCAAATCTTTTTTCTTTTCCCCCAAAGCTAAACAACCAAATAATACATTTCCCCAAAAACTAAAACAACCAAATCTTTTTTCTTTTCCCCGAAAAAAGAACAACCAATTAATACATTTTTGATTGATCGGGCTGCTGTGCTTGATTTAGAGCGCTCCGGTGATTTACCCTTGGCCTTTAACGGAATCAGGGGAAAATATTTATTACCTCCTTTTCAAATTATAGGTCATTTTATAACTTTCTAAAAACATAATTTTTACAATGTAATTATAGATCATTTTGACTTTCTAGATAACAATAGTAAAATCTATACAACTAGAGAAGTCCAAACTGACTTATAATTTGAGTGCAGAGGGAGTATTCGTCTCTTACAGGATGCTTCCCTTCTATTAACCAAATAAAATAAAGATCAGAACCAAGAAAGCAAGCATATCATGGTCGGAACCAAGAAAGCATATCCGAGAGTTAACATGTGATACATAATTCCGCATCTGAAGCAACGGCCACGTTTACCGACTCTCACAAGTTTCTTGTAGCATACGATTTAATGTCTTAAACAAAAGAAGAATAAAAAATGCTGCTCTCATCACTCATCCCCCCGGTATGAGGAAACAAGCGACCAGGCCACGGAGACATCCATTTGGCAGAAGCCAATATCAAGAGTGCCACAACTTCTTCCAGCCTTTTTAGGTTTGAAACCCCTCTCTCTGTGCACAACTTCATCACCTTGCCATGCCCTGACAGAAACCACAAGCTCCCCATTCACTTCAACAGATGCTACACAACGTGAGAGCGTGATAGCACCGTCACCAGCAACAGGCACATTATCATCCCCAGAATCAAGTAAGATAAGTTCCTCGCAACCTATACTGACTGTATGGGCTGCAATCTGGGCATGAAAACCATCTTGCCATGACCCACCACTAACTCGCACACTGATTGTGGCCTCCAATGAGTAAACAATAATGCCAACAGCAAACCAAAGTGTGCTAAGCTTGCTGTTGTAACCTATTTTACGCAGGCAAGAGTCAAGTGGGATCATGTTCAAGAATGGTACTGCTAAATAGCTCAAGTCTTGATCCTCAGATTCAGTACAGCCCTTCACTTTCAAATCAACCTCGAAGGTCACAGGATCCGTCAGCAGAACAGCACGGGTAGGACCTGTCAGTTTCAAATTGGGGACCTACATGTGCAGCACCAAAAAATAAATAATGAGTAAACTGAAGGCAGACTTTAGGCAAGAATTTGTATCATATGCAAAACTGTATAGTAAACACGTAGCACACAACAGAAACATGTCAGGAAAATATTGGCTTGCTGAATTATTTACAATTTAAAAAAAACAGCATATTTAATTGAACACACTAACACAACCATGTCTTCAATTAGAATATTTGTTTGCCAAGGCCTAGTAAACAAGGCTGAAAGAGTTTCAATTTCAAGACAAGTGAACTCTGGCATGAGAAAAGAAAATACGTATAACATTGAATTATACCACTTCGCAACAAGACTCAACTAACAAAATCAAAGTCATATCAAACGTTTGCTGGAAAATTTATTCCTGGCTGGCATTGTGCATGTGCATATACCACCTAAATTATGGAAGTAGCAACTGCATTTCAATGTAGCAAGTCTAATTATAGTATAGTCAAATAAGAGCGTGCCGACTTGTAGTCGTAATTAGATGAGTGTGATTTCCATTAAGATGGTAAGTTCCTTGTGCACATGTATTAAAGTCTGTAAGGGCCCACAGACATGACCAAATGTCAAGACTTTCTTGTGCTACACTTGCGTAGATTGAGATGCCTAGCCTACATGACAGATGACACTAATTGCATGTATATGTATGGCGGTTACACACAGGGGTGGCATGGCAAATTTTCATGAGAGTTTAAAAAAACAAACCACCAAGATATGCTTCCTCTATAAGAGCAACTCCAGCAGGGCCCCTACTTGAGCCCCTATAGCTAAATATGGGTGCCCCTACTACAGACCCCATATTTGGTTGCGCACTCAAATCCTCCTAGACCCCATTCCTGTTGCCTCTAGGCCAAGCCCCAAAATACAGTTTGCGTCTGTTTCTGCGCGCTTCTCCCTCACTCACGACCTCCCCGGCGGCGCTAGCGACTACCCAGCGACCTCGGCGGTGGCGCGGCGCGAGTCGTGATGACGCCCAACCCGCCCACTTCCCCAACGGAGAGTCGGGCCCCGACAAGACCACGAGTCACACCCTGGCGAGTTGCAGATTTGGCCGAGAAAATCTATGGCAACCAGGCCCCACCTGTCATTGTCTATCAAAATTATGCCTGGTGGGGCTGTTGGAGTTGAAGCAAAACAAAAAAAAAAATTGGGCTTACTTAATTGGGCCAACAAAAGCAGGGGGAAACAAAAGTAGGGGGAGCACCCAAATCAAAAGTAGGGGCCCTGATTTGGGTGCCCCTGCTGCAGTTCCTGTCACTGAAGAAATTACATGAAAAGGGAGTACCCAGTGCAGAGAGCTCCCGCTCTATGCGGGGCCTGGGGAAGGGTGTTAGTGGCAAGCCTTACCCTCGCCTGTGCAATGCGAGGAGACCGTGACTCGAACCCGGGACCTTCCGGTCACAGGCGGTAAGATTCTACCGCTTGCACCAGGCCCGCCCTTCACTGAAGAAATTACATGAATTAAACTAAATAGTTTGATGCAGAGAACTACATGTGACGATGCAGAATGCATTGTAATGAAAGCATGCCATCATTGCGATGACACTGGGGCAAACAGCTGCATGGGGTGGTTGCTGCAAAATTATAACTGCTGATTTTGGCAGCATAGCAAGAGGCAAAAGGAAGAAAATGAAAAGTAGGAAATAACACTAACCTCTTGCATAAGAATTTGGCAGTTGTCTCTTGTGCGGTCAAAGATCGTATTGCGATTGTGATCAACTGAGTCACGCAGGGCAATCTTCCCAAACACATGGAGTGGCCACTGTAAACTCCCCATTCTCCTTCTCCCTGCTACTTTGACTGAAAAGATCTGCAGAGTAGCGCACGGGTGTGCAGAGTAGCGCTGCTGAGGCGGCTTGTCTGTAAAACGCATGGACGGGATCTTTGCTGCAAATAGTTGTGGGAGATTCAAACTTAGTTAATACCGAGTTGAGCAGCAGCAGCAGAAATGACACCAATATTGACAAGAAAAATAAACATGTGCAAAGATGAAATCTAATCTCAGGTTATGTTTGTTGGTCAAGTTGTGATCCTACAGCAGGCATGCCAGGATCCTCCTCTCCAAAGCCCACAAAGGCAAGGGAAAATCCTTGGCTATCATAGTTCAACTATGAACCTAAACCTAAACCTGCAAAGGAAAATGGACAAGACTAATGCGAAGGATCGAAACATGGACCTAACAATCAAATACTCCTATCAGAGTTCAGTAGCAACATTATCTTCAAGAAGATGACAATGCCCATGACCGTAGGTGCGAGGAACATCGTATCAATCAATACACTACATTGGTTAACGGGTAAGCTAGCGGCAGACGATGAAGACAAGGGTAGGGGAGGGGAACTCACTGGTGTCCTCGAAGGAACCGCAGTAGCCGAAATAGAGGCAGTTCCAGGTGTCGCGGAACTTTCTAGCCCGGTAAGCATGGTAGTCCAACAGCATCTCAGGATCGTCCTCGTCGTCATCCTCCACCTCCCCCTTTGCCCTCCTCTCCCACGCAGCTCTCGCCTCCGCCACCAAACGCGCTTCCGCCTCATAGTCAAGCTTCCTACTACTCTCCGAGGCCGATTGCACTAGGCGGCCTCCCTCCCACGCCCTCTGCTGAGTCTCGATCTCCATCGCCGCCGCCGTTCCCTCTCGCGGTCACGGGTTGCAAAACCTACATCTGGATTCGGTTCTATTAAAAGTCTGTGCCTGGAGATATAATAATAAAAAAAAACTGTGCCTGGAGATATAATAATAATAAAAAAAACTGTGCCCGGAGACTATAGGGCTGTTTGGTTTCTTTCTTCATCCTAAAATTTACGTCACATCAAATATTTGACCACATGCATAGAGTATTAAATATAGACTAATTACAAAACTAATTACATAACTTGTGATTAATTTGCGAGGCGAATCTTTTAAACCTAATTAGTTCATGATTTGACAACGTTGTGCTACAGTAAATATGTGCTAATGATAGATTAACTAGGCTTAAAAAATTCGTCTCGAAAATTAACCTCCATTTATATAATTGATTTTATAATTAATTTATATTTAATATTCTTTATTAACCTCTAAATATTTGATATGACATAAATTTTAGAAGCAACCGCAGAACCAAACACCCCTATGGATAAAAGACCGAAACGAAAGGAGCTTTCCGTGTCCAATACGACTTTCTCGGTCCAATTCTAATCCAAATCCGCCCCACTCGCAGTCGCACATAACAAACCTTTAATTTATATTTTTTATTTTAAAGTTTATATTTTTCGGATCTAGTTTGGCACTTACAGCCAGTTAAAACGGTGGTACCGGTTTAGCTAGACCTGAGCAAATTGAGTCCGGTCCGAGCCCGACAGATTTTAGGAATTTTTTTACCTTTAATCCTTTTTAATCAACATTTTAATATTAATCTAAAAAAAGTATTTACACAAACTGAACTTTTTGGTCGCGCGGCTGGCGCGACAGTGTGTACTGTCGCGCCACATGCGCTGGCGTGACCAAGCCGAGCCACGGTAACACCCGTCGTTGACCGTAGTTGGTGTGGCAGAGCGTGGGCCACGCCCTATCGCGCCAGCGACTTCGGCGCGACAGCACTGTCCCGCCAGGCGGGCTGGCGCGACAAGGTGAGTTACGTTTTGGCCAAGCTGGCCTATTTCTTTTCTCTCTCTCTTTCTCTCGCTCTCCCATTCATGCTCGTGAACCCGCCCGCCACCGCCCCGCGACCGCACCCAGGCCGCCGCCACCGCGCCACCCCGCCCCCTCCTAGTCTGGCGACCCTCTCCCTCTCCATCTCCCTCCGTTCCTGCGACGCCCATGGAGGAATAGGGCGCGACCTATTCGGCTTGCCGCGGCCTTGGTGTTTGGGCGCAACGGCGCCGCCGGCCGGCTTCCCATCACCGGCGAGTGGACGTCCCAGCTCTGTGGAGTGCAGTACATTGCCAAGTTAAACTCCGTGTCCTCGATTTCTTGATTTGTTAGCTCATTTCTTAGTTGACTTGGGTTAGGAAATTATGGAGACTGTGAATGTTTGTAGCGTTGGTTGTTAAAATTTGGTGCGTTGATTAGGTTTAGGATATACTCTTGCCGTGGATTCGACGTGAACTACGTGTTGCATGGACCTAGGTAGTTGATGCATGGGGGATTTGGATTGGCTAGTGTGTTGGCTTTGTTGACATGGACCTAGGTAGTTGATGCATGGACCTATTGTAGTGTATTAGTGAATGGATATGAGTTATTTCCGAAATGCGTAGTTCATGTGTTGTTGATGTGTTCGTTTGTATTTTATAGATGGATCGGTTAGTGTGATTGTTTTATGGTGGCAAAGTTAAAGGAAATGGGGAGTTTGAAAGCATGCAAGAACATGTTCAGTTCTTTAGTACACCTCCTACCTTTGATGGTTTGGTTAGCCAATGCCAGGATAAATTTGGGTGGCCACTAAGATTGAGAGGTCGATTTGACTGTGGGAAAGAATGAGCACACTATGTGTTGATGTCTTTGTCATATGAGGATGAATGGAAGAACTACGTAGAAGTTGTCAAGAGTAGAAATGTTAGGTGCTTGGAAGTTACTGTGGAGAAGGGGTGTAGCCCAATTGTGGTGGCTGTGGATGATAATATGGATGTGGAGCCCGTAGAGAATCTTACCCAAGACGAAGAGTTACAGGTGGTTGTCGTTACAGAAGTTGATAGGTCATGTGAGCCCGGTGCCTTGAATGATGATTTCGATGAAGAAACGTTTGATGAGGACGATGGCAACGGAGATGGAACACATGATATGGATGACATATCCCAAGGATCGAAGGATGACGAAGTTGATGTTGCCTCCACGGACAAAGATGACTTTACTTCGGGGCCAAGTACTTCGGATGATGTGTTGGAGGACGAGTACATGTATGAGCCTAGTAGCGAGGACGAAAGTGATTGTTGTGAGGGAGGGTTTGCGGACGCAATAGGAGTCCTAGCTGACGGGTCATTGAGAATGGAGTACAATGACGTCGAATTGAGGTAATTGAAGGTGTCCTTACAATTGTTTCATTTTTTCAGAATTGGACACATGGTGATTGTCGTCCCCCCATATGCTGCCTTTGGACAGGAATTAAGTCGGTTCGGAGTCAACCGCAACGGCGCTACATTTAATACTCCAATGATTTGAATGTTTCAACTCCGAATCAGGTTCGTTCTACCATCGATGCTTCCATTTCTTTTGTTCACAAAGTATCAACAAGGCCACGTACTAAGTAACACAAGTTACAAGTTGAATGGGATCCATATGACAGGCGAGACGTATGGGAGTTGAACATGGCCCCACTTGTTGAGGCTGACAAGGTGCTGTGGAAATCCAATGTATCGATGATCTTGTACTATTGGTGGAGCACCACCTGCCCCAAATAGTGATGAAGCAGTTTGGTAGGAAACAAAATTTCCCTCTACAACATGAGTCGACAACCTGGCAGGTGCATGAGTAAGCTAGGCTTTGCATGTATCATGACTGACCATTGCATGCTTCATACAAGTCCTCAAAATATAATATGTGTCCTCCTTGCAAGTGTTCTAGGATGAAAAGGTTTAGTGGCAACAACTGGCTTATCAAACATGAAAAGTACATGCAACAGTGGGAAGCTAGAGAGAGGCTGGAACCGACTAATGGGGCTCGGTGTGTGACTAGCGAGTACCGTGAGTACCTGGTGTGGATTCATAGGTCCACCAGAATCGGTGTGCATCCACCGGTGTTAAGCATTCCAATAGATGAAGAAGGGAGCGACGACGATGACCCCTATGATGTGATGACAAGGACGAGCGTGCAGCCGAAAAGAGCGCCACTTGAGAACTACATGGTAAGCATTTCATTTGAACTATGCCTTCATGCAGCTTCACTTGAAAAGTACGTGGTCATGATGATTATGCATGTACTCTAGGCAACTCAGCTAGCTCACCTTTTCAATGAGGCTAGAGTTTACCTTGGACATGTAGGAGGGATTGAGAATTCATACCTTGAAGAATTTGCCAAGGTAGTACCCCTATGCCTATGTATTTTCCTACTCACCCAAAACTATATGTAGCCACTTCTCATTTCGCATGACCATGGTTGTGGAAGGTGTTGACATCCTATCGACGGATGGCTCGCAAGATGAGTTGCATGAGAGCCGAAGATGTACAAGTGCCACCTACCGGATCCCACCAAGGACGACAAACCCGTACAAGCCAAAGGGCGGCGATTGACAGATCGAAAAGCTCCCGTGCAAGACGTAGGGATGAGGAAGACAACGATGATGGAGGTGATGGTGACATTGATGATCCAACTTATGAGCAAGACGAGCTGATGGTTTCCCAACTTGCTGATGCTCCTCGGGGTAGACAAACTCAGGTGCATGTGTCATTAGCAACTACTACATGATTTGGTGACGGTCGTCTGGCCATACAAAGTCCCTATGTTGTATATGTTTTGTGTAGAGTTTGTCCCAACGCCCGCGACGAGGTCAAGGACGAAACGTGCGAGGACGTGCCCATGACTGCTCCGACGTCGATAGTCCTAATCTCCTTGCGCCAAATCTAGGCCACCGGCATCGTCCTCGAGAGCCCTTCATGCCTAACCCTTAATCTCATCTGTGAACTACAAGCATCCTTTGTGAACCATGTGCCTCTTTTTGTGGACTATGGTAGGACTATGTCCTTCTTTGGTGGACTATGTTCGTCATGCTACAACTATGTCGATGATTTGTGAACTATGTGGAGAATGTGAACTATGTTGGTCATGTATGAAGTATGTGGAGTATGTCAACTATGTTGGTCCATCTAGCATATACAACCACTACTACTAACACTACTCTTCCATCTACCATAAACAAGTACTACAAAATGGCAACCCATGGCCATTTGCAAAATATGTACGGATCTTGCTACCTTTGCACAAAAGAAGCAGCGACTATCGTACTAGTCCTCCATCTATCATATACAAGACATACATAATGCCAAACCTATTGGCATTTGCAAAATATGTATTGCACCTTGTAGGCATCAGTTGAGACCAAACACTACTCATCATCCTGATGGTCATCATGGTCATGGCCATCATCATTGTCCTCCTCCATGGGTGTGGGGATATGTCCATCATTTGATGGATCATCAAGAACTACAACAAAGAAACAATGTCTCATTGCCAATAAATGTAAGAAGATGCACAAGTCGAAACTATTTTGAAATCAATTACTCACATAAGCGATGTTTCAAAGCCTTACTACCCTCCTCCTGTACCCTCATGTGGAAAAAGGCATGCTCCCTTGCATCCTCGGCATCCCTAAAGTCGTAGGCCTCCTTGTTTTATCGCCGGAAGCTCATCAACTGGTCCTCGTTATAGTAAAAATTCAGCTATCGACCGATCACTCGAGGAAAGTCCTCGAGTATCCTATTACGGGTCTTCCATGATGGCATCTCTACCCCATACTTCCTCCTCACCTCTATCTGCTTCTCCTTCTTGATCCACCACTTCGTGTCTTTCTCGAGAGGTGAATGTATCTTCAGGCTCTCTAGTAAGTCTCCCACGACTAGGGAAGTCCTCCCAAGTGCATGTCCTCCCCTCCTAAGCAAACACAAAGTAATGAGCAAACAAACCGATGGCCATTGTTCATTTAGTAA